ATATCACATAAAAATACTCATAATATTTTATTTCCTGTAAAGGATTTAATTTAAATATTGGATTCAAAAAGTAAATGTTATATGGCATTTGTATCATTGAGTTAAGAATAGAAATAGTTAAATAGATTTAATTTTATAGTAGTAATTAGTGAGATCATCTTTAGCATCAATTTAACAGTTTCAGCAACATGAAATATTAAACATCCTAAAGAATAAACTATATATATATATATATATATATATATAAAAGTGGAGATCTCAGGCTTAAATAAAAGTTGCTATTCGATTCTAAATATTCGACATAATTTTTACATTGTGAAAAAAGAAGTTCACGGTTAAAAGGGTTAAAGTGCCGTTCGTTAATTCATTCTACGACTCAGACTGAACCTTGATAAACTCGCCGGGTCTCTCTCTCTCTCTCTCTTTCTTTCTCCTTCTCAAAGACACATTCTCTTACTTTAGCTCCATTGGCATTCCACGTCTGCGACCGAAAATGCATTTCTAGACATGCGTTTCATCTCAACCTCAAACGAGTCGCCTGTTCCATTCTCCTCTCATAAGTATTATCTAGTTATCTAGTATATCGTTGGTATTTTAATCTCTAAAGTGACGTGACTAAGATCTACGAAATTATGGGAAGACAATAGTATCGACGTCTTGGTAGACGTCGTAATTGGTAGCTGAGATTGTGTCAGGATAAAACACAAATATTTTAGACGCTAGTACAGTTACAGCTCCATTACAGACGGTTTTTGCAGCAAAAAAATACCTAAGTTCCGCGACGGAGTTTTGTTCCTGAAGTGGTTTTTTTGGGTCATATATTACTCATCGAAGAAAGAAGAGCCATTATTTTAATTCCTAAAAGGATATTTATGCAGGTATATATATTTGTTTGTGTGCTAAAAAATTTGAAGTGGTTAAAAGCTCTTATGATTCACTATTGTGTACGCGTATTGTATTCGCGCCCTTTATGTCATCTTTAAACATCATTAATATTTATTCCTTGTAAGATAACATTTCTTTTAAAACCGTATATCTCTATTTTCGAGAAGCCTAAAATAGCAACATGCTTTTAAGACTAAGAATGTAAAGCTATATGTTCGTTTGTTTTGTCAGTAATATATTAAAAATCTACCAAAAACATCAAATTGTTAATTATTATAATTTATTCATTTATTGGGTAAGAGTAAAAAAATTATAATGCAATTATATTGCAATTTAATTTTTAAAATCTTACAATTATATCACGATTACATACAGTGACTAGTTCTTAAATATTTAAAAAGATATTTGGGTTTGGCTCCTGAATGTCGCATCACTTATTTAAGTACGAACTAAGCTCTTTAATCTTCTTCAGAGTGGAAAATCCTGATTTCTCTGAAGCGAGGATCGCGAAAGAAAGGGAAAAAGATGTGAAAAGAGAAAGAAAAGGTCAATTCCCTTTTGGATACAAGCTACCGGTATTATGATAAGTATCAACTTATAAAGGTTCTTACCTGGCACGCTATTTCCGTGTTTTCTACAGCGGCCCCATACTGAGAAATGCACGCATGCTCCTGCTTTACGTTGAATACATTTTCCAAATGACGTGTATATGTAGAGCGATCTCTCACGTCGTCAGTTCCATTAGAGCAAAGGCCAGCGAGCACGTTATCCATCGGGTGTTTCCATTAAGCCATGTCGTAAGTTATGCGATTTACTATCTCGCCAGGGCGTGCATGAGACCGAATTCACAATGATCCACTCAAATATCGCGGACCTGCAATATGGAAAATTGAAACTATATAAATAAATGTACAACACTAAATCTTTTTCTTTTTTTAATTATATGAAATTATTGTATGACAAATCTGATAACTGCGGAAGGATCGATGCGTGCTTTATCTCGGTCCACTTCGTCCACACTGAGACGAGCAGAATCTATAAAGTTAGATTTGTACGCCTTGCGCTCTTAATTAACGACGAATAATTATTGAAATTTACAGCTCTTATATTTATGCGCGGTACAGTGATTATTATAATTACACAAAAAATCTACCGCCACATGCGGTTGATTAATACGAGAGGCAATAATGCGAGCGAGAGTAGCCTTTCGTTATGATGTCTCGAATGCTTTTTCGTTTTGTTCGACACGTACGTATTTCGATGGAACTAACTTACGGTAATGACAAAACAATTGCGCTTTTTGAATTTCCAATCGCACAGTTAATGCGCGACGAGATATCTCTAAGCATTTTAATCTGTTTTCATGTTACACATGAAATTTGTACACCTTTATGATGTTGCACAGAGGTACACTATGCCACATTATCAGATTTGATTTGTTTTTTATTAGAGGCACGAGTAATATTAAAATGCGTTTAATGTATTGGTATCCACACAAGCTAATTAAAAGTACTAGTGAAAAAAATCAATTGTATCTAATTACACAAGCCCACAAAAAAAGTTGTCTGCGCCATGGACTAGACCATGGTATTCCCATGTATTTCCACCTGCTGAAACCAAATATGACCTCAGTTTTGCCCCTATATATACGTCAGGATTTTTTTCTACAGGGCAAAAACAAGGTGTTTTTACCCTGTTTTTGGCTTTAGAAAAAAATCACCATGGTCTAGTCCATGACGCAAACAACTTTTTTTTTGTGGGCCTGTGTTATCGATAAAAATCTTATTTATATTTATATCTATAATAAAACAATATAGTTTCTTGCTTTTGAAGTAATATAAAAAAGTTTAATAAAAATGATGAATAAGAGTTACAATTACTTAAAATTCTTAATTTTTTGTATTTATATTGAAAAATCTATCGATAAATAAGTAAAGGCTTGCAAAGCGATTATGGTAATTGTCCAATTGTAGGTAGAAATTTATGATGTATAAAAAATATTACACATATACAAGAATTCTAGTCTTCATTGCGAAATCAACCCTCTGAGTTATAAAATGGACAACATATGTCTAACTGTGAGTGCGCTTTTAGTTTACGAATTGCATATTAGAAATTATAATTGCAATTGCAATTCATAATACAAGAAATATAGACTGCATTCTTAATAAGCGATATGTCACGATGAGATACGCGCAATTGTCTGTTTATATATAGCAAATCAACTGCGCATTATGTTTAACAGAAAAAAAACTTTCTTTGTTATACATATCATACCATAAATATATTGTACATCTTGTAACTTCTTAGCTAAGTTGAATGTTTTTCAAATATTTCGGAAAAATTTTTATGTATGTATTTTCCAGAAAATATAATTAATTTTTTCTGTCAAGAACATGCGTAATTAATTAGATTTTTTTCGCCTTATATATTAATTAATTAATTATGTTCAAAATTAGACGAAACATAACTTTTAGCATTTTTTAAAATTATTTTACATGTTTAATTGATAAGAAGTCATTATGTATTGTCCGTTGAATG